TAGACCACTCGGCCATCTTGCCTTCGATGCAGACATTTTCGAGAATTGCGTATATATACCGTCAGCTATGCCTCCAGCTGATTGGCAAAGATAACCTCGTGTCTGCCAGCCCACGTCAATTAGCGTGCACATGGTCCGCCTCCTCTTGACATGCCAACGGCTCTCGTCCCGTGAGACGCCTCGTTTCCACGCAAGCTCGGCTTCGATTGCATCCAAAGCAGGGCTGTTCCTTCTGCCATGCTTGGGCATCGACTGCCTTGACGTGGTCGCGCTGACCATGTGTCACCTCCGAGCGCACACACACAAGATTAGCTCGCATCTCGGCTAAAGCTCAGCTTATCTGGACTCGGACACGTCGAGATTTATGCGTCCACCAAGCCAGCCGCACTGTCGGCGTCCCCCACGCCGGTGACATCGCATCGCCACCCTCGCATAGTGTGAGCGAGCTTGCATCTGTTCACTCAAGGGTAAACTTGCCTCGCCCCGCTCTCGGAACCTGCCAAGGTCCGAATCGCGCCGAAATGGCCGACGCTAGCGTATCTGCCACTGCCCGTCCCCGCAGTCGATTGCCACGCTCCGGCGGCGCTTATCTGCATCAAAGCCACGCAGAGCCAGCTCGACACTAGCCACGTGGATTCTCCGTGGGGTGCAGCGGCGCCGGGACTCTTGCTGACCTGAACGGAGCGATAAGGCACAGTACAAAAGGTCGCCATCATTCTACCAAGGGCCCACTGCAACTCCGCCACATCTATTGATCCACATTCGCGATAGCTCCAACATGAAGCTCTCGCTGCCCAAGAAGGGCTCTTTTCGGCTCAGACTCTCGCAAGAGACGGCGCTGGACAACCATGACCTCAAGCCCGTACCTCCGTCCAAGCGGACCTGGCGCGCTGTCGACTGGATCTCGTACTGGATCTCCGACCAGTTTGCGCCCGCCACCTGGCAGCTCGGTGCCTCGATGGCAGCCACGGGCGTGACAGCACGCGCAGCCATTCCGGCCGTCTTCTTCGGCTTCCTTTTTGTCGGTCTCGTCATGTGGGCCGCAGGCGTCATTGGCGCCACGTACCACGTAGCGTTCCCCGTCATCAACCGCGCACCCTGGGGTATCTATGGCTCGCTATTTCCCGTCGCTGCACGTGCATTCCTTGCACTCATGTGGCTCAGCATCCTCACCTTGACGGGAGGCAGCCTCACCGAGCAACTGCTCATCTCGCTGTCGCCGCGCTTTGCCAATATGCCCAATCACCTGCCTGATTCGGCCAACATCACCTCGCGCGGTCTGCTGTGCTTCTTCATCTACTGGCTTGTCCAGACGCCCATCACCATGATCCCCGTCGCCAAGCTCAAGCACTTTTTCAGATTCAAGGCGATTGTTTGTCCACCTGCTTTCATCGCCATTGGTATCTGGGCGCTCGTCAAGACGGGCGGGGGTGGAGAGCTTGTTCGTGGACCAGTGACTGCAGGAGCCTGGCCGATCATAGTCGCACTCAATGCAGCAACGACGATTTACTGCACAGTGGCGGTCAACATCGCCGACTTCTCGAGATTCTCCAAGACAGCCAAGGGGACGTGGCAGCAAGTGTTGCTGCTGCCTATCACGGGCACCATCCCGTGTGCGTGTGGGTTCTTTGCAGCCGATGCTGCACTCACATTGTATGGAGAGGCAGCCTGGGATCCAGCTAAACTCATCTCGCTGTGGCAGAGTCGCGCATGGACGTTTTTTGGCGCCCTCATCTTTCTCATCGCCACCATCGGCGTCCAGATCAGCGCCAATGCCATCTCGTTTGCCACGGATGCCATGTCGGTCTGTCCGGCGTTTATCGACATTCGACGCGGATGTGCACTGGCAGCTGTGCTGGCGGTGGCGCTCACCCCGTGGAATCTCGTCAACTCGGCTCAGGGATTCATCAACTTCCTCGGCGCATACGGCAGCTGGCTATCTCCCATCTCAGCCATTGGACTGGTCGACTATTACATTCTGCGACGCGGCAAGCTCGATATTCGTCAGCTCTACGTCCATCCCAACGGCATCTACAGCTACGGCAAGTGGGGCATCAACCCTCGCGCCTACATCGCCTTCACGGTCGCCTTCGTCCCTAATCTGCCCGGCTTCATCAACGCCATCAATCCAGCAGTCAATCTCGACGTACCCATCTATCGCTTCAACTGGTACTTTGGCATCACCGTCGCTGCACTCACGTACGGCGTACTGTGCAAGTACATTTGGCCCCTACCGCAAGAGTCGATCCTCGATGAAGCCGTGTATCCAGACGAGGCGTACATTTGGCCCGAACACGAGCACGACCACATCAGCTCCGGAAGTGTAGAGAAAGGAAGAGTGCAAGACCACAGCCCAGACTCCGGCTCCTTCGACCACCTCGACATCGACATCGTCCACGCAAAGTCCGACACCAAGGACGAGGACATCAAAGAATGACCGTTCCAGCACATGCAATGTCCAGCTCTCATAGAATGTTCACGTGTGCCCAGGCCGTGTGTGAACGCAAAACAATTCAATGTCGCAAGCAGGAGGCTCTATGATACAAAGCGAGAAGAGAAAGCATCGTGACACGGGTGCAAAAATCGATCTGGTGGTAACGACGGGGAGCAAGAGGATCCAGCCTCTACTCCGTGTTCCCGACCAGTTATCTTATGCGCACGACAGCGCGCTTAAGAAGTTCGCTCGGTCTGGTAGATCTTGACCGAGTTGATGAGCCAATAAGCCTGGGAGAAGTCGACGTCCTTGGACTGCACGTAGCTCTGGCAGGTTGGGTAGCCGGTCATCTGGGCGCAGCTCTGTGCCTGGCCGTTCCACGCGTTGTTCCAGAGCGTCTTGTCGCCTGCCCAGTCGCCGCAGATGGTGTTGCTGAACACGCTCACGTGGTTGAAGAAGAACGTGGTCGGGTCGCAGCTCTGTGCAGGCCAGCTTCCCTGCGGCGTGCCCCAGCCGGTCGGGTCGGGCGTGCCGGCGATGATGTCAGCTGGAGTCGCCGAGCGCGGGAAGAACCACGCCTTGATCCCCTCGTCCTTATCCCACACCATCGCATGAATACCGCCGCCATTGTTGTTGTAGCCGACGCCATAGTCGTTGCGCAACGACGACTGCACCCCACAGCCCTGGTTGCCCGTCTCGGCCGACGCGCAGTTGGTCGCCATGGTGATGTTGGTCAGCTGGTACTTGCCCAGCTGCGAGTTGGTGGTCGCGTTGACGCGGCAGCCGGGCGCCGTGTGCACAGAGTACGTGTTCTGCGACGTAAACGAGATGCCCTCGACAATGTCGATCTCGCCACCGTTGGGCCAGCCGCCAGCCGGGTTGGTGGGCACCGTCCACCACGCCGGCCACACACCGCATCCGACGGGCATGTGCGAGGCATCGAGGATAAACACACCGGTGGTGAAGGTGTCGTACGAAGAGACACGCACCGACTTCATGTACGGGATGGGTGCCGCACTAGACGTCGCTGCCGCACTACTCGTGCTGCTGGACGTGGAGCTTGAGCCTGAGATCGACGAGCTTGTAGTCACTGCCTGGGCACCGAACGACCCGGTCGAAGAGCTGGCACTCGAAGACGACGTAGATGTCGAGGTCGAGGTCGACGACGACGACGTTGAGATGGCACGTCTGCCTGCAGCGCGGGTAGAAGTGGAGGAGCTGGCCGAAGTCGAAGTCGACGTGCTCGAAGACGACGTCGAAGTGGTAGTGGGAGCGGGAGGATAAATGCGCGTGGTGGCATAGCCCATGTACACCTGACCGCCGCTGGTGGTCTTGACCATTCCGAGCGAAGAAGCCTCGTCACGTCCGATGTAGTCGACCATGCCGTTCGTGGGGTCCTTGAAGGTGAAGAAGTACATGTTGTCGTAGAAGTTGGCGCCCCTATAGTTGGCCATGAGCGAGTAGACCTTTGGAGTGGGCGTCGGCGTGACGGTGCTGGAGGTAGAGGATGAGGTAGACGAAGATGACGACGAGGTGGTAGAAGAAGACGAGGAAGAGGAGGAGGACGTCGTCTTGGACGAGGAAGTGGAGGTTGAGGTCGAAGTAGTCGAAGTAGAGGTCCTCGTAAATGTGGACGAAGTGGAGCTCCTAGTTGAAGTGGAAGAAGTGGAGCTCCTAGTCGAGGTGGATGACGTGGATGACGTGGTTGGCTTTGGGGTGGTCGACGTCGAGGTGGTGGTAGCCCGGCTGGACGTCGAACTTGTTGTGGGCTTGGGCGTGGTGGAGGTGGTCTTCACCGACGTGGTGGCGGCTGGGTTGCCCGGAGAGGGTCCGGCGTTGCGAACGAGGCCGTAGGAGAGCTTGACAGTACCACCTGCGCTTCCTGCGCCCTTTGTCCAGGTTGCTGCCGACTTGGCCTGCTCGACAGTGTAGAAAGCGCAAATGACGGCGCCTTCGGAACCTCCGCTCATCTGGATGGGATGGACGAATCCACAGCCCTTGACATCGTTGCATCTAGCACCGCACGTGGCGAGCTCGTTCTGACCAACGACAGTGGCGCCGACGATGGTGGATCGACTGATGTACTGGCCGGTAGAAGGGCCGTAGGAGACTCGCGATCCTTCGATGCCCCACGAGAAGAGGTAGCCAGACGGAGCTTGGAACTTGGCGACACCGGCGGCGGGACCAGCGTTGCGCGTAAAGCCGTAAGAAAAGGCGACGGAGCCGCCTGCGCTTCCCGCTCCGCTAGTCCAAGTGGCCGCGGACTTGGACTGTTTGACGGTGTACAGAACACAGATGACGGCGCCCTCGGAGCCACCGTTCATCTGGACGGGGTGAAAGAAGCCGCAACCGTTTGTGTTCTCGCATCGTGCACTGCAAATTTCGACCTCGCTCTGACCAACAGCGGAAGCGCCAAAGATCGTGGTGCGGCTGATGTATTGACCGCTGAAGGTGCCGTAAGAGACGCGAGAGGCGTCAATGCCCCACGAGTAACGGTATCCGGTGGGAGGCTGAAAGTTGGACACGAAGCGCTGCTTGAATTGCTTGGGCTTGACCTGAGGCGTAGGCTTGGGTGCGCGACGAGCGTTGCGAGTGCATCTGCGATGGACGGTCTGATGGATGGTCTTGGTGACCTTGTGTTCCTTGTGGTGAGCTTTGGGCTCGGGCTCGGGCTCACGCTTGTGGTGTGGACGAGGAGTCTCGAGCGAGCGACGTTGGCGCTGCGTGTGCTGTGCAGGGCACGGGGTGGGTCCACCGCGCTTGCGGAGGATGTCAGCCTCGAGTTTGTCCTGCTCGGGTTCGAAGGATGTGATGATCTCGAGCTCGTCGTACTCCTCGTCGTACTCCTCGTCGTCATCATCATCTCCGTTCACATCCTTGCTGTTTTCGTAAGCCGGAACACCTTTGCTCGAAGCTTGGGCGTTGGCGGCGCGCTGCATCACAGGATTGGAAGTCTCCATGTCGGCATAGCGCGACACGAGGTCGGTCGAATTAAATTCTGCGGGACGACCGCGTCCGAAGAAGGCGTTTGCGGGAGTGGTGGCGTGCTGCAGCACGAGCAGGAGGAGCGCCGCCTGGACGACGACGCTCAGCTTTAGTGCGAGGTTGACCATGCTGACTTGGTCACTCTATTCGGAAGGTGTGCCGGTGACTGCTGTATATATGCGGATCTTGAAGACAGTGCTGAAATGAGCGTGGGAGACAAAACGAGTGTGGTGGCTGTAGGCCGTCAAATGCGGCAAGTGTGGGGTCGTCAGGGGTGAGAACACGGCAAGGAAAGGGAAGAGAAGGGGAAGGGAGAGGGGAAAGCAGATGGGGACGAGATTCGGAACGCGACCGGCGCCCCACTCATCTTTATACTCTTTCGGGCGTCATCCGATGTGGGAATGGGAGGGAGGGAGGCGGCGATAATGACGAGCAGCAAAGTGCCGAGAATGGGCGCGGAGATTTGACGCATACTGTGCTGCCAAGCGGCACCTGCTCCGGGGCTCGCGACAGCCGCGATGGCGCCGAAACGGCATGGGATGCCGGCAAGTCCGAGCGGATCGTTGCGTGGCGTGCTGGCTTCCAGGCAGGCATACGGAGGAAGGCATGGCTTGGCGAGGCTGAGGCTCCTATTCCACGCTGCGAGCCTGCAAAGTCCATGAATCGCATCCTGCAGGGTCTAAGCAGACCCGGAGAAGCCACGCGAAACACCGAGCCAGGCGCATCCCACACCACGCTGCGTTCACGGAATATCCGGAGCCTTCGAGCTTGCGCTGGCGCATCGAGTTGCTTGGCAAGCCCAATCTTTTGCAGAGTGCTGCCTCTCAAGCCAAGCCAAGCCGGCAAGGGAAAGCACGGGAAGCGGAACGATCTGCAAATTGAGATGTCCAGTGCACACGGTAAGATGATCTTCGACGTGCAGCTCGGCCAGCTCCACCAGCCTGCTGGCTGCTGATGCGCCGCCACCCACGTGAAGGATCGTCGGGGCCAGGCCAAGCCTATATGCAGACGATCATCAAGTGGCCGAGTCGCCTCGCAACTGATTCAAAGCAAAAAGGCTCGGTAGGGTCGGAGTTCTCAGATGCAGCCATACTCGGCGGTGGCTTTTGGCTAGCGACAGAGCGCTTGGCTCGGTGATGCGGCTGTATGCTGCCCCATCAGCTCGGGGTCTCGGCGAAGCGTGCATGACTGCAGCCGCTTCGCGTGCACCTTTTGACAGCTCGACAAGGCGCGTCTGCATTCAAGCCGGCAAAAAAATCTAAAATCAAATTGCAGGCCAGCTGCAGTGCACTTCCCGTTCCCACCTTCACTGTTGAGCCTCCTGACGATCCGCAGCCTGGTTCATCTCGTACTGGCCGATCCCGATCTCCCGATGCAATTTGCCTTCACCACAGCTCTTCACACCTCGGCCACTTGACAAGGGAGAGAGAGAGGGGGGTCTGATGAAGTGCATGTCTAGTGGTTCTCGTGTACAGTGGGTAGCTCCTCGCGGCTTCGCGACGGCAGGGCGACATTGACTACTGCAACCTCCTGCATCTCTTGCGCCTGCGGCGCATGCTCCGGCAGTGCAGCCACGACGGCGCTGTCCTGCTCCTGCTCCTGCTCGTCGACCGCTGCAGCCTCCAACACCTCCTCGTCAACTAGGATCTGCTGTGGCTCGTCGCGAAGATCACCTTGGCCTCCGCTGTTGGCCATGAAGTCGTCGCGCAGCCAGATGCACCTCTTGTCACCTTTCTTCTCCATCTCGATCAGGTTCGGCTTGTGTGAGTGGTTGGGGAAGAAGACCAGCATCGAGCGCAGACCGCCCAGAATGCACACCACGCTGTACAGCAGCTTGTACACGCCAAATGTGAGCATGTCGAGCATGTGCGGGTGCAGGTCCGGGCGGTTGCGCGTCTTGATGAATCGATACGGCAGCAGCGGCAGTACAGGCAGGAAGATGATAAACGCAAAGCTGCGCAGCCAGAATTGGCCCGAGCCGCCCAGCAGCACGAACATGGGCAGCCGGATCCAGTCGATAAAGTTGGTGATCGAGTTGTAGAACTGCGTGAACTTTTGCCATCCGATCGCCACGGGCGTGCGTGCGCCGTTAAGAGAGAACAGGAAGCGCTTGGAGAACTGCCAGTAGAGCGTGTGGCGCGCCATCTCCCATGAGCGTACGCGCTGGTGGTAGTAGTTGCCCGTACCGTTCACCGGCGGACCCAGGAAGGTCTCGGGAGCCACCGTCTCGAACGAAATGCTCGCATCGATGCCCATGCGCTGTCCGAGCGCTTGCAGCTCCAATCCCATCTTGACATCGTCGGCAAAGTAGATCAGATCGTGTCGGCGCAGAACCTCGATCATCGTTTCGCGCCTCCAGAAGCTCGCCGCTCCGTGCGGGAACAGCACACCGCACAGCTTCGACTCGGCCATCTTGGCCAGCGCCGACATCTTGTACTCCACATCCTGCCACCCGACAAACAGCGGACGGTCACCCTTGTGGTCCACCGCCGTGATCGGATAGCATACCGCCGTCACCGTCGGCGAGATAATGTGCATCGGCGCAGCAAAGTTGGCTGGGATAATCACGTCGTCGTCGATCGTTAGCACGTAGTCCAGATCCAGCTTGGCGGCAGCTTTCGCGCCCACAAACTGCGCGATGTTCTTGTTGCCCACCGGCAGCCAGATGTAGTTGACGCGCGAGAACATCGGTTGCGATCGGATCGCGCCTTCCATGTCCGTCGGCGGCCACTCCGTGTTGCCGTTGTCCACAATGAAGATCTGCCACGGCTCGAAATGCACCAGCGCCGCAAACAGCACCGCCTTGAGCACCTCAACGTCCGCATTATGGCACGGGACGATCAGCCCAGTCGACTCGGTGAGCGACGGGTGCGACACTCCGTCCATCGCCACGCGAACCTCGCCGTCTCCTTTCACGTCGCTAAGCTGCGCCTCCTTCTTCTCGTCGTCCGCGTCGTCTTGCTTTTCGTTCATGTCGCCGACGACAACTGCTTCATGAGCAGGAGATGGCGACGGTGCACCCAGCCGCGAACCAGCGGCGGCTGCCACGATGCTAAAGTATGACGCGCGTCGCGAATCGCGGCTGACACTCCTCGCCAGTGCGATCTGGTGATGTACCGAAGCCGCGCTCGGGCGTCGCGACTCGCTCTCATCCATGAAGCCACCCACGTTGAGCGGCTCGTGCAGGATGATCGTGCTCCTCCTGTTGCGCGGGTCGAACATGGGCGTTCTGGGCACCGCAAGTCCAGACGCTGTCGTGCCTTCGCTGCCCCTCCTCTCGGGACCGACGGCAGATCCGCCCGAGTTCCCGGTGAATCTGGTGGACATTCGGCGCATGGGTGGTTTGAGCAGGCCCGACGCACGCCTCACCGCAGCATGTCCGTCCCGATCGATGATGCCACTCTCGTTGTCCTGTCCCTGTTCCTCCTCGGACTCGGTGTGCTCCTCTTCGATGATGGTCGAGTGCATCTGTGTCGCAAGCTGCGCGTCGTCGACCGACTCGTCGCTGCTCATGCTTGAGCGCGAATCTGCGTCCGACTCTCCGTCGGTGCTGTCGCGCGCGCGCGGAACAAGCACAGTGCGATCAGGTACGACGCGCGCATCGGGCACCCGAGCCACGAGCATGATGACAAGGATCATCGCCGGCTCAAAGCCGTACAATACACCCATGATCGCCAGATTCTTGCCGTGTACCGCATGATCGAACTTGGCCCACCAATGATAGTAGCGGTCGAGCAGCACGAGCATGGCGACCAGCCCGCCGTACACGATCCACAGCGCGACCTTGCGCACCGTGATGGGCAAGATGATCTCGCGCGGATCCATCATCGTCAGCACGTATTTGGGGTCCACCTGCCGCGCGGCGAAGCGGAACGGCGCCTTGAGCCAGTACTTTGTCTTGTCGCTCCAGCTCGGCTCTTCGGCAGCGTCCAGAACCTGGGGGCCAGCAGAAGGATCGGCCTCGCCTGCAAGTTGGGCGTCGGTGGGGAAAGCAGTGAGGGGCGTCTTGGGGAAGCCGGGCGTGCGTGGAGGAAGGCCGAAGGGGAACGGCGTGCCTGGCACGTGCAGGTTGGCGGCGGAGGCGTTGGCAACGTCGAGCGCCGAAGACGAGACGAGTGCTGCGCCAGCCTGGCGCTCGGCCTCCATGAGTCTGGCCTGCTGGAAGACGGAAGCTGCATACGTAGGCCTTCTCATCGCCGACACCGCACGTCCATCAACCACCACGTCCCTTCCCATGACGCCTGGACCCGTCACATCATACTGGGTGCGGTACCCGAGAATCCAACGCTTTGCATCAGCGACGTTGTTGACGTGATTGTCGAGCTCGGCGATGAGGTCGTTTTCGTCCTCGCTATCGCTGTTGTCGGGCTGTATGCTGCTATCACGACGGCCACGCATCGATGACGGTGCCAGCGAAAGCCGCCGGCCCGACAGCGAAGGACGATTCGACTTCAAACCTGCCACTGTCGCTACTGGCATCGATACTCGCCTGGACAGGTTTGAGCGAGCCGAGCGACGTGAACGATCCGAGACACCCGAGACACGCGAGGCAGTAGTAGCAGCCGTCTGACGCCTCTCTTTGTAGTACGGGCGGTGGCCTACGCGCGAGCTGATACTAGGCGCCTCGCTTGTGCGACGGACCGCCCTGGCGCTTGCCGTGGAGGCGCGCTTGCCCGTGAGCTTGGACAGTGCCACGGACCGAGCAAACGAACTCGAGCGCGGCGAAACGTCGTCTTCGTCGCCGTTCTCCACATCACCTGCGGGGGCACTGCCACGAGCTTGCGCTGCCTGGACAGCAGCAACCGAGTGTCTCTTAGCGCGCTTATCTTCGTTCTCGACGTGGTCGACGTCGAGACTATATAGCTGTGACTGACGCTGCCTCTCCAAAACGCGCAGCTCGAGCCTGGGCACGACCTCGGCTGCACCGCCGCGAACAAATCCGAGGATATCCGTAGCGATGCTTGCGCTGCGGTTCCTGCCTTTACGCGCCGAGACTTGTGTGCTGGACTCGGCGAGCGGCCCCTCAGTCGGTACGCGTGGATCGGAGGGTGCACGCGTGATGGTGGTGAGCAGCACACCCTGGTACGAGCCGCCCGTGTGAACGCCGGGTCTCGCCGAGTGCGGTGTG